GCATTCAAACTCACATTGCTTCACACTCACTGAGACTCGCTCCCATTCATGCTACATATGAACTCGCACTCATGTGAGTAATTACTCGTGTTTCTAAACAGGTTTACTCATGCCGTTTGTCACTCACTCATATTCATACTTATGCCTTTCAAATAATGGAGTTGCGTATACAATGTAAGTGAGTATGCTGAGCTAGCTTCCGCATTTTCTCTAGGTACATGTTGATGGCTGCAAATGATTCAATTCAAGATAATTTAGTTTTGTAAACAAACAAATATTTGCCTATGTGCATAGATTGGTTACCCTCAAGCCTAAATTGTGGTCGGTGGGGGGCATGTCAGGGAGTGTATTATGTTTCTAAGCTCTGGTTGAGGACGAACATAAAATTACTAGTTTAACTCCTGTAGCAGCACATTAACACAGTTAACAAAGTCTCTTAGCCATAAAATGACTTCATGAAAGATGTTTTTCTTTCTCTGTAGTTGTGTTATTGAACTTCTGGTATTCTCAGTAATAAATGCAAACATTGTTTTCAATCAAAGCAGACCCAGTAGCCTGTAGGCTTTGATAACTGCGAAAAATCGCATTGTGCTAGCCCTTTTCCTTAAGCAGTATTAGGCAGTATTTTCTCCGTTAGTATATGTATGTTATGAGAGCATACTCAGTTGCCTAATATGTCACTTGGACACACTAAACTTCTGACTAAAGGACCTCATAAAATATAGCTCAATCAGAAATAATTTGAGTTAAACAAGTGTGAGTGTTGATAATATAGTGGTACTGTATCTGCATTGCCTGCATATAATGCAGTTTTATTTTTTCTGAGACACTAGTCTTGCTAACATACAATTTTTACAAAGGTATGTGCATATGCACCATGTCGTACTGATGAAAATTACAAGAAACAAACAAATGCAGAAGGACTTCTTCTTGGGCTAGTTGGTGCTTGCTAATAATCATAATCTACGTAGTGTGAAAAGACACAATGGACACACAGAACCACACACCACATATGTTTGTGGCGTGTGGTTTTGTGTCCATTGTGCCTTTTCACACTACATTTTGATCATTAGCGAACACAAGCAGTTTGTGTTGAAGTTTCTTCACTTTCTTCATTTGGTTGAACAACAAGGGTTTAAGAGCACACGTACATGTGTTTACACAATCAATCTAAAGAAGTGCTAATTTACTCAAATCTGTACAAGAGAAAGCTCCATGCAGTGTGACATATCATCAGATTAAACAGCTGAATAAGCACTTCATTCTTTCACAAGTTGTGGCATGAGTCTGAAGTGATCAATATTAAATACATGTTGTCACACAGAAGTTCACTCTTGAAGATTCCAAATCACATGTCGAGCTGCTTGGTTATCTGTGTTAATGCAAGTTATCAAGTAACCAGTTTTAAAATATATACATATGAAGCAATTTTGCCCCTCATTCTTCACTTTCCTATAGACTAAGAAACTTGATGCACACAATTAATACCCATATTTAAGCTTGAAAGGTATATAATAAAAAACAGAAAAAAATTAAGGTAAAAGTAAGACTGGCAAATTGAGAGCTGATTCAGCTCATTAGTGGAGGTGGTCAAAAAAGGAATGACACATGAATGCACCCTGATGTTTATGCACACATAACAGTGTTAATCATTGATGGCACTCACAAGTACTCATACCTTTTCCCACTTATAGATACACTCACATTCATACTCATACCGACTCACTCCTATTTGCACTCACTCACTTTCATATTTGACTTTGCTCATGCCCCTCATTACACTTGAACCTTTTAAATGAGTGTGCTTACTCGTGACTTATGAGTGAATGTGCACCAAGCTGTAACTGTCTGTAACAGGCCTGTATACACAAGGATGGTTGCAAATGATGTAGTTAAACGAAATGAGTTTTCTATTGAATTAAAATATTTGTCTATCTTGATGAATGTTGCCTACAGAAACAAAATTATGTACTGGTTAAGTGCACTGCAAAAAGCTGGTGTAACCCTTGTAGCAGCTTGTTGGCACAGGAAACAAAGACACATTTTCTCTGCCATAAAATGAACAACGTGAAAACTGTTTTCTTTTTGTCGTAAGTGTATGTTATTGAACTTATGGTATTCTCTGTACTATCAAAACAACAAAGTTTTTAACCAAAAAAAGCCCTGTGGCCTCTGGGCTCAGCAAATTGGAAATATTCACATTGAAAAACATTTTTTCTTATTCTTCACCTGTGAAATACTGCTGTATTAGGCAGTATTTCTTCCATTATATATGCATCATAAGAGCTTACTCAGTCACCTCAGTAGTTCACTGGCATGCACTACACTTCTGCCTGAAGAAGCAGATGAAGTGCTCAGAAATGAAAATTTGAAGTAGAAAGTGCACATGCTTTATAAACTAGTCGTGATACCTGTGTGTTCTGTATATGATGCCGTTTTAACATTTCTGAGACTAGTCTTGGTGAAAAACCTTTTCTCCCATGATGTGCTATGCATGTGAACAGTGCCATGCATATCAAAACTTAGAAGAAACATATTCACTTTTTGGTAAAGAGCTTCATTTTCTAAATTATATGTGAAAAATTGTCTAAGTTTACACACTTAAGTGGTAGAGATAATTTGGTTTATTTACATCTGTTCATGAGAACGCTATCGCCAAGAGTGACCATGTTGAACTTCTGATCCCACTACTATTATACCTCTACCACCACATTATATGGCTCAATGTGTGCCTCACTTATTTACGTGTGCTTGTATGTGCTGGGCTTTGCTCAAATCACAGGTTATCAATGACACATGTGCATCACCACACAAAAGCTCCCTATTGAAAATCCCAAAGCACACGTCGAGCTACTTGGTTATTAGTCGTCATGCAAATTATCAATTAAGCAAGTTTAAAATACACATGCATAAAGCAGAGTTGCCATCTCTGCTTTACTTTGCAATAGGGAGTGAGTTTTCATGCACATGAATAGTGCCCCTGTCAAGTACACAGGAAAATGAAATAGAAAAGAAAAAAAGAAAGAAGAAAAAAGAAAAGAAAGGCAGGTAGGTCAACCAGGTTGATGATTTGCTGCCCTACAGCGTAGGGGTGGAGGGAGTGGTCAGAAAAAGAATTAAGTATGAGAGCACAACTGATATGTACGGGCACATAATGGTGTTTATCGTTCATGCACAGATGGCCATGTATAGAGCTGTTTTGTTTTGAGATTTTCAAAAGCATTGTTTCAGCCCACTGTGCAGATTACGCTTCAATTATAGTGCTATATATGACACAACTTATGAGCCTGCTTTAATGAATAAAAAAATTATAGGTGAAACAAATGTTTTAAAATATATCATGGCTGCATGGACACATACAAGCAATGTAAAACACAATAAAGTGAAGACGCACGAGCTTCTCTTGACGCTTCAGTTCTCAATGGATGCTTCAAGTGTGCAGCAAAGAAGTTTTACCAATGTCTGTGCGTGTAACATTGGCCATTTTAAGCTATCTATATGTATACCTAGAATGCCTACTGCGAGTAAGTTACGTAGTGCACCATAACTCTTCCTTTTATGAAGGGCAATTTTTCAAAAAGTGAACATTGTTCACTTTCTGTCTCTTGACTTTGTGCCCCCAATTGTTATGTTGGCTCGATCACAATTGTGCAGCTCTTATTTTGGAGAAATGAAAAAACTTCAACCAAAATATATTTTAGAACTGCTTCACGGTGATATTGCCATCCCTCAACTGCTACAGCTTACCATGAGACATGGCAACTCTCGTGCATACCTAGGGCCTACCCTTGAAGAAGAAGCTGGTCCAGCTGTGAAATGCTCAGTTTTTTCTCAAATGAATTTTTGGTAGGAGTTTTCTCACTTCTCCAGTCCCTTCACAATCAAGCAGACCTAATGTTCACCTTAGTCCTTATTTTTGTTATATTATGAAAAGAATAAAAGTGTAATAGCAAAAATAAAAATAATAATAACTGTTGTGCAAGAAACAGTCCCACGTACGTACTCGAACGTAGTATTGCTTTTACTTTGTTTCAGCACCTAACCCATTAGAAGAAATAGCAATACATAAAGAAATTGGAAAAAAAAACTAAAAAGAATTCACAGACTCACTACTGAGCCGTGCTCGCGCACGTGAGGTTGTCGCGTTAGCTTGCTAAGCCATGCGCACATGATGACAGTTCATTTAACATCTGAATTTATATATGCTTATACGCCATATGTTAGCATAATCATGTACGATATGCTATCGTATTTATTATTGTGTGCATATGTTTTGTGATTGTATCTAAGCCACACGCTTTTCGCTTATCTTTAGACTATAGGTGTTCGCTCCCCCGCGGATAAAAACAAGTATTTTTACGCTTACACACAAGCTTGAGCAGTTGAAGCTTGTTTCCCGGGCTCTCTTGCGATTGAGTCGGCCACCACAGGATATTAGAGTGATACGCCATTAATATAGGCGTCTAGCTGTGTTCCATTTAGAAGCTCTCTCGCTCGATCCAAAATCGAGCGTGGGGCACGACGCTAATCCGCACGACGGTGCCTCGCGTAGCGGCGACAGCAGCTGATTGCGCCGGCTGGGTCGCTTCGATTTGCTTCAGAGCGAAGAAATATCATGCCTTGAAAGATCGCATACTGCACTATGTCAAAATGTTTCTGCTTTGTAGTTATCCTTAAATTCACTGAGAACTCTGATACAACTACCGTAGAGCTTTGCGTCGGCGACGCGCACCGAACGTAAAACCGCACTACGTCTGTCGTATAAGCAATAGATGACTGTCGTCTGCTAGAACAAAAAAAAATTAAAAATTTGCAAAAACTTAGGTTTTGTAAAGTGTTTTTTGAATGACCGTTTAATATTTTTAAAAATTATTTTGCCAGATAACAAACTTTTTTGAGTTTATTGCAGCAAGAAACTTTTTTATTTCCACAAACAGATGTTCAAGTCAAATCCATTCACAGCTAAAGCCACATGTTGCTTGCCTTGTTTGTTTGCGTGGGTATGCAGTTTCCGTGCGTCTCTCGTGTGTTCGCGCTGCTACGTTCATAAGAAGATTGAAGCTAAAAGCACTAAATTTACGCAAGGAAGCACCGTTCGTCGTTTGTGCTATGTGCAAAAATTGCGCGCTATTCACGCGGTTTTTCGAGTGCGAGTCGTCGAAGGCGGGGGCTCGAAGGACTCCAAGGCGACGGCTGACGCCTGTGGTCGCTTCCCTCAGGACAGTGTGAAAGAAACTGAAGGTAAGGGGGACACGTTATCTTGCAGAATAAGTATGCCACTCTGTGCAATTGTGTGTGCACTCGAACGAAGCGTCGTGAAACGGCAGCCCTACTCGCCTTTGCGAGGGTCGTTACCGATGCGCTTTGACAACGCTGACACCTGCGCAGCCATGGCGCATCGGCGCGGCCTTACTGGAGCTGATTCGCGACAACTGCGGCAACACGCATGTGTGTGGTGATCAATTTTTTCATATGTATGATATATATGATTTTTTCATAGGTATGATAAGCATACGTTCACGGTGGAGCGTTATTATGTCCCTAAACAGTGGCGTATGCGTGTTAAGGCTGGTGCACACCAGCGACTAGCAACGGTCGCGCGACCATTGGCGACTGGTCGCAAACAGTCGAGACGGTCGCAAAGCGACTGCTTTGGCTAGTCGCTTCCTGACCTATTTTTCAGTCGCACAACTGCAGTCGCAAAGCCACTGGAGCGAATCAGCGACGCTCAATTTTTGTTTTTCTTTTGTTTTTTCATTGCGCTGGCCACCTGCCGCCAGATGCAAACGAGTGCGTACCTCTGGGTCTGCGGCACCATGGCCACCACAAAATACTTGGTTTGAAGATGGTGGAGCGCAGCAGCCCGAGCAAAGTGTCGAATTTACGTGGCGGCATTCGCAAGAAGCCGAACACCATGAAAATAAAGAGAAAACAGAGTGTGCTCTACCTTTCACCTGTATTCAGGATCGTTTTTTGTCTTGAACTCGACTTGTCGCAGCCTTCCATGTAGTGCGTTTGGAAGGCGTTTGTGCTTCATGCCTTGGCAACGACTTAAAGGATCGCGTTTGAGACGCGTTCGGCCACATTGAAGGCTGTGGCAAGTCAAGATAAATTCAAGAGCGTTTCTGAATACATACGACTGTCGGCCATACTCCTCGTCGTCTCAGCGCAGCTCGGGAAGTAGGCGGCTTGCATGGCTAGCCAACTCTCGCGATTAAAGGAACGGTCACACCCACCACCGGCTTTTTTCTTTGGAGGCATCTGTGCTGCCAGCGCTGACACCATGGCGCAGCGCACCAGCACCATTACAATCTCTTGTTCTTCGCTTAAATGGAACTCCTTGATGCTGTTGGAAACGCTGTGCGAGAACGAACGAAAACAATAAATCTGGTGTGCTCGGTTTGCTCCGCTCACTGAGCTGGCCGCGATCAGCTGATCGGCGCCGGTCTCTAGAGTTCTCTTCTCGCTAAAAACGAGATCCAGACGGGACTCTCCAGCTTTGCGACTTCCGGTCGCTCTCATGCAGCCTCTGCCGGTGTGAACATCAGTCGCGATTTGGTCGCCAGTCGCGAGTGGGCGTGGGACCGTGGCTAGTCACCGGTGTGCACCAGCCTTTAAACGTTGTAATGTGTGTGCCTAATATAGAGAGAGAAGTGTTCGTGCAATCCGTATGTGTACCTACAAAACGCCTTTGCTTGTAACTAATAATGTACCGGCCAGCACCTACATTGTACGCCTGACTTTGAAGAAAACTTGCATGTAAAATGTGAGATTTTGTAATTTGCCAGAGTTGCTTTTTATACTATAATGTATTGCCAGCATGTTCAAAATATGTTTCCCTGCTGTGTGGCAGTGGTGCGATTATCACATTGTTGTGTAGTTGCAGATGCAAGCACTTATAGTTTCGATGCATTATATTTCTCATTTAATTCATCAGGTGTTTGGCCGTTTCAGCACAAACAAGGCAAAGAAAGAAGGCAGACGGGTAATGACAGGAGCAGTGCCGACTTTTGTTTGAAGTAGAATACCTATGTTGGTATATTTATTGTGACAGCCTTTCTGTTGTGCTTTTTTACCCAATTTATACTACGACACAGTTGTCAGCAATACAAGAGAGAACACTGAAATTAGCTTTTAAAGATCATAGTGTATAAATGCCTAGTAATGCACAGCACAAAGTAAGAACAAAAGACATCGGTATGATCAATGTGGCACGAGTACAGTCTGTCATCTGAAAAAATGTATTGTGCAAAATGTTGTCTAAGAGACCTCTCCCTCTTTGCAAACAGTGTGACGTCACTTCGAGCATTGCACCAGCCATTCTCTCCCTCTGTGGAAGGGCTGGTTGGCAAGGAAGTTGTTGGTGACGTTCCTCATAGCCCACTGAAACGTATGCGATTCTTACTCCGGCCTAATTATATACATAATATTTTGCGCAGTTTCATCGCTGCATCTGACACCTATAACGTATTTGCATATTTACATTGCTTCCTTAAGACCTAACACACAAACTTGTAGTGTGCATTGTCACTTCATGAATATCAAGTGGTAAAGGTACTGAGTATACGTGAAAAAAGAATCTCTGCTTATTAGATGAAGACATATTAGGCCTCCGATAAAACGAGTTATACCTTTATTGGGCTTGCGTACTCGTCGGGGCGATGCATACATGCAGCTTCAGCAATTGTATAATCCAGCCCAGTGTCTATGCATTTTTTTTCTGCACACAGCGCAAACACCGAGATGTATTCACTCGCAGATGACTGCATCAAGTGCATATTTACCTTGACTAAAATGTCGAATGAAGTTTTTTCGACAACCGGTCGCTGCCACGAGTGCTAAGGTCTTTGCAAACAAGACGCATTGTTATTCACACTGCACACACTATGCACAATATTCTCAGTTGGTGAACCGATATTCTCGATACCTTTTAAGGCACACTGCATGCCACAATCAAGAGTGCACATTTTTGAAGACGATGCCGCTGTACCTTGCACAGGCCGCCACATGTGTTCACTTCTTCAAGATAAACAGCCAGCGTGGCAAATATTTTATTATGCAGTTTACCTTACGGCTAGACGTTTGCTGACACATACTGCAGCTAATGTCGCCATTGTAACCTGAAGTTTAAGCTTTGAAAAAGAAAAAAAGAAAAAGTTGCCCCAAACACCACACGTCTGTACCGCGCTGAGCCACCAGCAGTAGTGTTTTGCCAGCCACCCTTTTCACATGCGCCTGTGACATAGCCCGGTAGAGTCCTTGTTGCTGCATACCTCATGTGAATGAGGGTCGAGTTAGAAAAAGCAGGCATTGTTGATTTCGTAACTTGTTCATTTCCAACAGGACCTTCATTTGCACGAGTTGTCTGCCTGATATTATTCAGGCATACTTTTTTGCAATTGTGAAGAAGATGTGCCTGCAGCGAGCAGCATCGCCAACGCCTGGCTCTCTCGGCTCGTGCTTCGGTTCGTTGCTGTGCCGATCGCTGGACGGTTCTTGACGCTGTCTCGTCGCTGTCTTTAACGGCTAATAAACCTCCTCACATTTGGTGGAAGGTGCTGTTAATCCCCGTTGCTACACCCTGGAGCTGCGAAGCCGCACGCTACCACCTGTCATGACTGCCAACGCCACTACATCGACGCCTTCGCTCCAGTTCAACTGCCCTGGCCATCCTAAACTACGGGAGCCGAAGGTCTTCAGCGGTGCGGATGGGACCGACGTCGAAGACTGGCTCGAGCACTATGAACTGGTGAGCGCCAACAATAAGTGGGATGAAGCCGATAAGCTGGGCCACGTGATATTTTATCTCACTGGCGTCGCCGAATTGTGGTTCAATAACCACAAACACAACATCCCCACATGGAGCGTCTTCAAGACGTCATGTGCTGAAGTGTTCGGTCGGCCGGCTGTCCGCAAGCAGAGGGCAGAACAGCGCTTGCGCGTCCGCTCTCAGCAGACTGGCGAGACCTTTACCAGTTATATTGAGGACGTCGTCGACCTTTGTCGACGTGTGAATGACACCATGCCCGAATCTGACAAGGTCAAAAACATACTGAAGGGCATCGACGACGGCGCATTTCAAATGCTTTTGGCAAGGAATCCAAGCACAGTTTCTGAAGTCGTCAGCTTGTGGCAGAGCTACGACGAGTTGAAAAAGCAACGCACTCTGACTAGGCAGCCTCAGCCTGGTGGTGAGTCGCTGTCCAGCTTCGACTCCATGCCCGACAATTCACCATTGCTTCAGCAAGTCCGAGTCTTCGTCCGTGAGGAAGTCGCCCGCCAACTTTCCCTAGTGCCCTTTACTCACGAGACCACCACCCGTCTACCTGCCCCGCTTCGCACGGCTATATCGGAAGAGGTTGCACAAGCTGTTCCTCGTGCGCACTACGAGCCACCTCTATCAAGCCGTGGTCACTGCCCGGGTGTCGCACAGCCGGTAGGCGCTCCTGTCGCCTATCCGCCAGCCGTTCAGCCTGTGGCCGCGCCCCTAACCTATGCAACGCAGCCTGTGGCTCCGCCTGTCGCCTTTTCGCAAGAGATGCAGCCCGTAGCCGCGCCGCTCACATATGCAGACGCTGTACGTAGGCTCCCGCAACCACCCTACACCACGCGCTCACAGCCCGCACACCCGGCTGCTTATACTGCACCTTGGGCGGCAGCACCAGTCGCCAATCCCTGGAGGACGCCCGATAACCGACCGATTCGCTACGCTTGCTTCACTCCCGGACACGTTGCTCGCTACTGCCGCCGTCGACCTCAGACGTTCGGCAACTATGCCCGGTCGTCGCATCCCGGCAGCCAACCCTTCGTCCAATACGGGCCGGTCTCGCCACCTCGCTATGCGCCTACTGACCACCTAGACTTCCAGCCGCAACGCGCACCCTCTCCTCGTCGGCGATCGCCCTCCCCCATGCGTCGCCAGCCTGGACCCTACGACCAGGAAAACTAAGCAACGCAGTTCAAGAGGCAAGAACTGCGCCGTTTTCGAACTGTCTAAGCCCTCGCTCCTCTCCTGCTAACGTGGTCGCAGTAACTGTTGAAGGTTATTGTACTTTCGCCCTTGTGGACACTGGCGCCGCTGTTTCTGTTATTGCCGCTAATCTCTGCCGTTTATTACGCAAAGTAACGACGCCGCTTTCGGGACTGTCGCTTCACACCGCAAGCGCACAGCAAGTAACGCCTCTCGCAGCCTGCACTGCAAGAGTCTCCATCGAAGGCATTTTTTACATCGTGGAGTTTATTGTTCTTCCTGTCTGTTCGCATGACGTCATCCTCGGGTGGGACTTCCTATCCCGCCATAATGCCGTCATTGACTGCGCACGCGCCGAAGTTGAGTTTTCACCCTTGTGTGATGTCCCATTACTGGACGCTCCTCATCAGCCGCCGAAGTTGCTCGTTCTTGAAGATACCGATATTCCGCCTGGAAATTTCGCCCTTGTTCCCGTTTCATGCAACGCCTACACTGACGCTACAGTTCTTTTTATGCCTTCCGATATCTTCAAATGTCGTCGAGCTTTGCCGCTGCCTTTCGCAACAATTGACCTTGCCGCCGGAAGAAGCAACATGTTCGTAAGCAATCCGCTTTCCACACCTGTCACATTGCTTGCGGAGGAATGTCTCGGCCGCGTGCAGGATCTCGACCCTTGGTTTTTGTTTGATGTCCCGGACGACTACTGCGACCACCCAAAAGCACTGTCAGCACTCGGGGAGTCGTCCAATGATACGTTTTCCAGCGCCATCGCCGACACTCTCACTCCCACCGAACATGCCGACCTGCTGGATCTTCTCCATGAGTTCAGGAGATCGTTCGATGTGTCGCAACCTCAACTGGGCCGCACATCACAAGTCAAACATCATGTTGACACCGGCCTACACCAGCCACTGCGTCAAAGACCATACCGTGTCTCCGCTGAAGAGCGCCGCGTCATCAACGATCAAGTCGAAGATATGCTTCGTAGGGACGTCATTCGACCATCTCACAGTCCCTGGGCGTCTCCCGTCGTCCTGGTGCGTAAGAAAGACGGATCTATCCGATTTTGCGTGGACTATCGTCGTTTGAATAAGATAACCCGCAAGAACGTCTATCCTTTGCCGCGCATTGATGACGCCATTGACACCCTTCACGGAGCGGAATTTTTCTCGTCGCTAGATTTGCGGTCTGGCTACTGGCAGGTCCCAATGGCAGAAGCCGATCGCCAAAAAACGGCATTTATTACACCAGACGGACTATATGAATTTAACGTCATGCCCTTTGGGCTTTGTAACGCGCCTGCCACGTTTGAACGTCTTGTGGATAATACGCTACGTGGCCTCAAATGGAATATGTGCCTGTGTTACCTCGACGATGTCGTGGTTTTCTCCCATGACTTTCCTACGCACCTCCTTCGCCTCAGGCACGTTTTGAGTTGTCTGACCAACGCTGGTCTGCAGCTTAACCTAAAAAAATGCCGCTTCGCTGCACGCGAGCTCGTCATCCTAGGCCACATCGTGTCCAAGCACGGCGTATTACCAGACCCAGCAAAACTTCGAGCAGTCGCAGAATTTCCCAAGCCGACGACCATGAAAGAACTTCGCAGTTTTGTAGGCCTATGCTCCTATTTCCGGCGCTTTGTTCGCAATTTTGCATCTATCATGTAACCGTTAACCCAGCTTCTTCGCGGTGACGTGAACCTCACCTCCTGGTCCCCTGCATGTGACGTTGCCTTCGCTACTCTGCGCCGTCTGCTTACTTTCCCAGCTATTCTTCGCCACTTCGACCCGACGGCTCCTACCGAAGTGCACACCGATGCCAGCGGCGTCGGGCTAGCGCGGTCCTCGCTGAACGAAAGCCCGGCTATTCAGAATACGTTGTAGCCTACGCTAGCCGCACTCTGACGAAAGCCGAAATTAATTTCAGCGTGACAGAAAAAGAGTGTTTGGCTCTGGTGTGGGCACTTGGAAAGTTCCGGCCGTACTTATACGGCCGCCCGTTCGATCTAGTAACTGATCACCACGCGCTTTGCTGGCTCTCCACATTGAAAGACCCTTCTGGCCGCCTTGCGGGATGGGCACTTCGCATCCAGGAGTACGACATTCGCGTCGTATACCGCTGCGGACGCAAACACTCTGACGCTGATGCCCTGTCCCGCTCACCTTTGCCACCAGATCCGACGTGCGGAAACACGTGCCTCCAGTACTTGTCATCGTTAAATCTTGAATCAATTGCCACCGAACAACGTTGTGACCCGTGGATCGCCTCTCTTATCGAATATTTATCTGGCACGCCCAACCTTCCAGTATCTCGATCCCTCCGACGTCAAGCTCTCCATTTCGCCATCCGCGATCAACTTCTTCATCGACGCAACTACGCTCCCGATGGCCGCCGGTGGTTGCTGGTCATTCCACGCACTTTACGATCGCAAGTATGCGCCTCCCTTCACGACGATCCGCAATGTGGCCACGCCGGAGTGTTCAAAACATATGAACGCCTTCACCATCGCTATTACTGGCGCGGCATGTACAATTTTGTACGTAAATTTGTGCAGTGCTGTCCTGACTGCCAGCGACGTAAATCAACACTGCCACAGGCGACTGGCGCATTGCAGCCACTTCCATGCCCTTCCAAGCCATTTGATCGCGTCGGCGTTGACCTCTACGGTCCCCTTCTATTGACACCAGATGGTAATCGGTGGATTATAGTGGCGGTCGACCACCTGACACGCTACGCCGAAACAGCCGCTTTGCCGAGCGCTACAGCTCAGGATGTCGCCTCTTTCATTTTGCAACGCTTTATCCTTCGACATGGTTCACCTCGAGAGCTCCTTAGTGACAGAGGCCGTGCTTTTCTTTCCGAGGTCGTCAAAACTCTGCTTTTGGAATGCCACGTCATTCATCGGAAAACGACAGCATACCACCCGCAGACTAACGGACTAACGGAACGGTTCAACCGCACGCTAGGTGGTATGCTCTCAATGTACGTGGCATCTGATCACAGCAACTGGGACCGTGTTCTCCCATACGTCACGTTCGCATATAACACCGCAATACAATCCACCACGGGATTCTCACCTTTCTTTCTTCTTTACGGACGTGAGCCTTCCCATACAATTGATACCCTACTTCCTTACCGTCCTGATGCTTCCGAGTGTCCACCTATCTCCGATGCTGCTAGACAAGCCGAAGAGTGCCGCCAGCTCGCCCGTGCGTTCACCTCGGAAGAACAACAACGCCAGAAAGAAACTTGTAGCACCTCTCTTCCGGATCCCAACTATGCCCCAGGGTCTCTTGTGTGGCTTGCCATCCCTTACCAAACACCGGGACTCTCCTCGAAACTTGTCCCCCGATACGAGGGGCCTTACACCGTTTTGGAGAAAACCTCTCTGGTTAATTTCCTAATTGAACCAGTTTCCCGATCGGACGACATGCGCCGGCGTGCACGTGACATCGTCCATGTTTCCGGACTGAAACCGTACCATGAGCTTTTGCCTGAAACTTCTTAAGTCGCCAGGATGGCTCCTTTTTCAGCGGGGGCGATTGTGAAGAAGAAGATGTGCCTCCAGCGAGCAGCATCGCCAACGCCTGGCTCTCTCGGCTCGTGCTTCGGTTCGTTGCTGTGCCGATCGCTGGACGGTTCTTGACGCTGTCTCGTCGCTGTCTTTAACGGCTAATAAACCTCCTCACACAATGAATTATACAGTTGGCAGTCTGTGATTGTCCCATATTGTTCTTACTGGTGTCTCTAGTTGTTACTTTGCACTGTTCATTAGTGATTATTCATAGAAAATAGCCCAGCTTGCCGCTGTTTTGAACAAGATGCAGCTGCCAAGTGCAATAGTGTTCATAACACTAAATGCTCAAGCAAAAAATTATCTTTTCATATTCAGTTAGTTGCATTCATATCAGTACATTACAAGTAATCATTGATTAAACATGAATCTGGGTTCTTTATTCTCTCAACTTTAAATATCGAAATGAATGGTGTTTATAAAAACGGGTTTTCGCAAAGCTTTATGCTGTTTTCTTGAACAGCTAACAAAAGGCTATTGCATGCTTACTTGCCACTCATTAGAATGTGTTTGAAATACATTCCAATTCTTCACCACACTGCCAGTAACACCTCACATTGGAGCAACATTAATTATGGATTACTTTTTATGAATGGAGAGAAAGAAGTGGCTGGTCAGGAGGCTTACTTGATATTGGCATTCGTTTTGCTACCCAACACAATATCATGTAAGCTTGCTATACAGTGGTTATGCGTCTTAATGTATTTCTGCAAACCAAAAACGCTGCATAAAACTCTATTTGTCTTAAAAAAATTTTTGCAGTACAGTGGAGGCTGCAGGGCTGCTTAGCCAATATGAATGGTGGAATCCCTGCACACGTGTTCATCCATGCTGCATCAGCTGCTTGGTGCTTTCATAGCCTCTTTGCAGATGCGTTGGGTGAGTAAATTAAGCAGGTTGCAACACAGGGAAAACAATAATATGGCAGCACCTCTTGTGCGTGCCTTACATCCCAAGCATATCAAATATTTATCTTCCACTGTGTGGCCTGTAATTTTTATAGATACAGTTATTTTTGCTTTATATTTGGGTCTAGGTGCTTTGACAGCTATGTATTCGTGTTTGACAGCAGGTGTTCTTGAACAAATAACTGATCTCAATAATGATAGAACACCCTTCATACTTCGTTCTTAGCATAAGCTGGCACATATTTATAGCTGATTCAACTGTTTATTTGGTTCAAGTAGCAAATGCAAGCTCCAATCGGAGTGGTCGGTGATGTCTGTTTAGGCTGTGCCATGTTGCTTTGCAACTAGAGTTACTTGTGGCCACATATACAATAAAGCGATATGACGTTCATTATAAATGAGATTACCATATCACATATCACTGCATCTTATTATGTGTCCAACAACTGCAGATATCTCTAGCTTGCCACTATGAATGGATTCTAAACCAATACAAGGTTGCAATATAGTCATGGCGTTGAAGCTGTCTATGACTCTACAATGGATGCATAGTCGTGATAATTTTCCTATATGCTGTCGCAATAGTAATGTTACACACATTGAATGATATAAAAGAGGTCCTCTCTTATTTTGCTTTTTTTCCCCTAAGCTTTATTCATTGGCTTGTCTCTTGCCATGTGCTCCTCCTCACTGTGCAAGGAGCAAGAGCAGTGGGCACACAAACAGGTATTTTAAAGAAATGTTGTTTTAAGGGGAACAATGAAGAGCTGAACACTTTCAAAAAGCTCAAAAAGGAGAAGGGATTGTTTCTAGCTACTTTTTGGGCACCAATGGCTAGTTGTGCTGCTGCAGTTGTCATTGTTGATCAGGACACTATTCTGAAGTCGTTGCACACATTTGCTTGAAATGTTAAGAAAAATTGGATGTGGTTTAGCACCCTTTATTGCAGTCAAATAAAGAACTAGGTTTTAATGTGTAAGCAAAGTCTGTTCACTATAAATCAATCATAATGATATCTGAAATTCAGGAAATACTCATAGAAAAGCTCGGGAAAAGGCTGAGTGGTTGCCCCTTGAACGTGAAGGAGGTACCCTGCTTCTAAAAGATCAATAGACAGTCTAGTAGTCTTCACATTACATGCACTATAAAGTATTCTGGTGTGGTGCTTTTCATGCATGTTATATTGAGAGGGATTTTTAATAGAACTGTTGTCACTTTGCCCTGTATTGCTGCAATTGTTGACATAGTTATACTACATGAATCGCTTTATGCCTTTTGGTTTTATACAAATGGTGTGCTTACCCGGTCAGTATAACTTGATTTGGATAAAATCATAAATGCTCTGAAAATTTTTTTACTATACAGCAGGTTTATTTTTAAAATATGCCACCATAGATGTGAATGCAGTTGGTGACGTGCTTGATTAATGCATCACTATCACCACCCTAACTACATCTGCTACGGTGCATAGTGTGATAAAAATAATGGTACTTAACATTACCGGCAGCATAAACTTACATGTCTCAAAATGTGTTAGAAAGCCTGGTAAAAATGTGTGTACTTTTTTTCACTCAAACTAAATATTCTAGCCATACCCAAAGCAGCTTCTGCTCTTTTATGGTCTTCACACTATTTGGTGTTCAAAAGTATCAATGCCATATCCTTCCTTTGTGGGCCTATTCACCACTCTATTAATGAGACTTAACAGACGATACTACCTAGGAAATTATAGGGAAGTTATAAAAAGTAATGTCAATGCAATTGTCAAAAAACACGAACCTATTAATAACTTGTCGCGAAGTTATCTTTTTGTTCACTTTTTTTTGCAATTTTGTTAGTTATTTTGGTAACATCCCCTATAGTTTGTTTGGCATCATTTTCTGTTAGTTCTCATCATAATGTGCTCAGAAAAGACAACGAACCCTTAAATTTATAGTTGTTCCCTTTACTCATGAATTTGAAACAGTGAATTTCATTAATCTTAGGGGTGTGTGACTTCTTTTTAATCAGTTGTGTGTGTGTGTTTGTGTACGTGTATTCAGGTGGGAGGGTATAACATTGCCACCTCATGTGACTTGCAGATTTTCTGAAAACTAACAGGCTCATAATGCTGCCAAATAAGTATAGGGGATATTGGAAGTAAATGTCATGGAATTATCAAGAAAGAAAAGTGGAAGAAAAGATAACTTGCCATGGCAAGGGACTGAACCTGCAACCTACGAATAAAGCGTGCGGTTCTCCACCAACTGTGCTACCACAGCAGCTATCGCCCCTACCGCTTTGAATGGTATATATGTGTACCTAATTGTCGGAGATTCAGTCAGCCCCGCTTGTTGCTATCATGGCTTGTTTGGGACACTTTTTTCTTTTATATTGGCATCACGTAGCATGGGATGTTATTACAAGCTGGCAGCCTGACTGACGCTTCTGCGCTCAATGCACATATATACCCCATAAATTGGACGGGGAGATAACTGTCATAGTAGCGCAGTTGGTAGGGCATCAGATGTGCTATTCGAAGTTCACAGATTCAGTGATTGTGCACGACAAGTTACTTTTTCTTCCACATTACTTTCTTCTCAATTACATTACAAATACTTCCATTAATATCCCTAGTGCTTTTTTAGCAGCATTGTCAGTTCTCATTAATATTTTTTCTAACAAAGAAAAATGAGCCCTTAAACGAACACTTCTTTCGTTCATTCGTAATGAGGAACTTGTTATGGCAGGCTTGGTGCCGCGAGGTTATATACGAGGGATAATTGGTCAGCTGTTAGCTCGTGTGAAAATATCGCGTGGTGCGTACCGCCAGCAGGCAAAAAGGTCTTTGTGTTCCACGCTCACCATAATTGTAACAGGCAGCGCTGACCGACTTTTCCATGAATAAATGCACATATATACTGTACAAAGTGGAAGGGGGAATAGCCGCCATGGTAGCTCAGTTGGTGGAGCAATGGACAATTTATTCGAAGGTCGCAGGCTCGGTCCCTGTCCAAGGCAAATTATCTTTTTTCTTCTACTTTTTTTTTCTTCACAATTACATTATAAATATTTCCAAAAATATGCCCTATACTTTCCTTAACAGCATTGTCTAATAGTTCGCATTAATATTGTGTTTAACAAAGAAAAACAAGCCTTTAAATGTACAATTTTCTTCTTCTTGCAGATTTTCCTGTGTTTGCTATAAAAGGTGCCTTATAATCTAAAGAGGCAAACAGAATGTGCCAGTGTCAGAGTTAGCTCTTGTAGTGATTACAAGTAGGATATGTTCTGAAGAAGAATAAATCATTCTGTCATATTTCTAAAGAATGGCTATAGGACATGGTGCTGGATGCACTTTGTTATCTTTGACACGAGCTATCTTGAATTCTATTTTTATACATTACATGGGCTAGACATGACGGTATCACACACTTCAATGCCACAAAGAATATGCAGCGAGCAATGTTAGAAATACGAAAGTTGCATACGGACAAGGTGAAAACTGCACCCTCAACGAGGATTCACAGGGAACACAGGGTGTAGGCGTCATTCCTTCTGCCCGTCCTTGTCAAGTGTGAGCTTTTTTCACCTCGTTCTGATTAACTAACTACATTGAGATGTGTTCTTCTAGTGCATAAAGATGCTCCATGGGAAACTAGGTTTGCCTCATACTCTGTGTGTGTCTTTCAACATATATGATGCCCGGTTCAAGAGTTCATGCAGACCAGATTGTGTAAAGCAGGACACCCGTTTAGCATATTAACATGGCTTAAATCATGAAGCAGTTAATGGGACCGAATAGGAATTTTTATAGTAGCTGTTTTGTTCTGCAATGAAAAGCTTACTGGTCTGAGTGTATAATCATGTAGTGAAAGAAGAGAATTTTCGCGGCTTGTTTCTTCTTGTTTGACATGTCTTTCATGAGTACATTGAATGGTGATACAGAAAGTGCTGGAAATATTTTAAGAATTTTTGGATCTCTGACTGCTATTAAGTGTCACATAACACAGGCTGCAAATAGTGGGAGGTCAGCATGACCACTTTATATGTTTGTACACTGCAGTCTGGTGCGAAAGCCTGCATTTGACGTGCATGTGAAATGCACGCATTTTGCACTGTTTGCCACGATGGCAGAGCTGCTTTTTGAGGGTTGACTCCTCTGCGTAGGCAGCACAGAATAGTGTTGGTACAGGCAATATGGATATATGCTGTAACTTTGACCACTAATCTTTTTGCAGGTTAAAGCATCAGACTATTTGCAGTAAATAGACAGGCTGCATGACATACTGATTTTTAGGCTTTTTAAGTGCAATTTTAAAGTGAAAGCCACTCAAGTTGCAAAAAGAATGCAGTTCAATTCACGAATTTTGATTTCCACCTCCAATCACACATTCTGGTGACTTGTCAGTCTTTTTAATGAAGTCCTAATCAAAATTTTCAGCTGAAAGGGTTGGTACTGATGTTGACTTTAGTGCATTGCTCATGAGTAGAACGATAGACTTGTGTGCTTCAACAGACAACACCTTGTGGGCTTTTTGCATTCGTGCCCTACCCTTGAGTACTGCCTGAAATTGATCAGGTAATCTTTGCATATTTTTAGTGTCGTTGCTCTGTCAGTGTCAGCTTAAGCTATGCCATGAAAGTGGCCTACAGTGTCCAGCTAATGTTTTTCCCATGTACAACTGTAGTTGTGGTTGTGCTGAATGACCTTTCTTTATATACACTACATAACAAACTTGCTCCTTTAAAGTCAAGTGCATCTTCGGATCGATTGTAAATGTTCGCATATGCGAGGCCTTAAGTTTCAGAAGAAATTCCTCAGTGTGCCACAAGGAAATGTGTGTTCTGTGAAAATTTGTATATCATTATATACAACTCTTAAAGCCTCGTCTACAACTTTGTGCAGATTGATCTTGAGCAGGAAACGAGGAGCGGCAGCAGCCCCCTAAAAAGAGCAAGCACTCCCAAGCTCCAAAAGCTCTCTTCGACACAAACAGCAAAGTCACTGTGTGGCATCGAAAACCATTGCAAGGAGTGCCTTACCAGTACACTGTGCTGCTCTTTCATCGCGGAAGACGAAGATGACCACTCCAGGGAACTTCACCCTGTGTATTGTAAGTGCTTCAGTGGTTTTGTTTTTGTCCATTCAGCAGTAAAAAAATGTGTCAGATTCAGCCAGGGTGGCTAGAGAGAGTCGGGCAGACATGTTTGGAGATTTGTCTAGCCAAGTGGTGCCAATTTTTGCACTGGTCCTGTTGGAGTTACTGCCACAAATGACAGAAGCTTCGTCACCTCTGTAAATGTGCAGATGTGTCGGGGAAGATTTGCTGAATTAGTTCTTTCTATAACTAATAGCCGCCAACATTCTTTATTGTACAGGAGTTTTGTTCCTCACTGATGGGTGTTGGGCCCTTCACAGAAAAAATGCTACAAGTCTACTTATGGAAAGCCCCAAGGCCTCGGTTGTAGGTTTTTTCGGCTTGTTATCATAAGCACCTCGTTTGGGTGAACGTGAACATTTTAAACATGTACAGCGAAAAATTAGGGTGGCCGGTTGTTTTGTCGTTATCATGTTTCTCGCAATATTCCGTGAGCATGTTGTGCATTACGTTGTCAATCTGGTTCATGTGCGTAAAAGACATTACACAGTATCAGGCGACTTCAAGCACTGCATTGTATAAAAAGCCTGGAAGCAACCTATCAATAAATTTTATGAACACAGTTGCTTAATCTAATGCATGATACATCACTAAACTTCCGTGCATATTCATCAATGTAAGCTCGCCTTAGTGTTATCCAAAATGAAGATGAGAGTCGACAGATCGAAACATCTAGTGGGGTAATCAGAGTGAACAGTGGAAGTGCCTCAGACAGGCTGGCTGATGTTACAATAGAAGGACCTATTTTTGTAGAAGTCACCTTGTCATTCTTGGCGTGTTAGTTTAAATGGGGTTAGTAATGACATCGTCTTTTGCTGTAGGCGTGATTGCCTGTTGGTAATGTTTGTCTGAAAAGAAAAAAAAAAACAATAAAGCAGAAGAGTGCAGCCCTCGCTTCCTTTCAAGTTAGGTTGCGATGATACAAAGTGTTCTCCATATGCGGGTTGTGGGTAAGGGAAGCAAAAATAAGGTGAAAGAAAGAAAAGAAAAAAAGAATTAAAAGGGGGGATGCAAAGTAAAAGTAATGTGCAACACCGCCCCTTTTCTTTGTTCGTTTATGTAGCGGCCATTACTTTGTAGCGCACCGCTCCTACTTTGCATCCCCCCTTTTCTTCTTTTTTTCTCTTTTTTTCTTTTTTCACCTTGTTTTTAACATATGCATTGCGCCATCTAGTGCATGAATCAATGACACATGGCTTTGCTATAGCAAAGATGCCTATGTGCTGTTTGTTTGAACAGTGCATTGAACTTCATTCAGTTTGATTACAGGCTGATCAGTCTTGAAATAAGTGCTTCCTGTCTATCACCACACATAATCAAATGAAAAGTTTGCGCTTGGCTCTTAGTATACTGGTACATAGCTTGTGTCTTGGACTACTCAGAATGAATGTTGGCTTGCTGCTGTTTATGGTAATGAATTTATCCAACATGAAAATTTCTTGCCTTGTGAACTTTGTCAAACCTGCTTTTCTTTTTCTTTCCAATGTAGACATTTTATGTAAGGATGGCAGTACCAGGGAGCTCTTAGTTTTAGCTTTGGAAGAATAAAATTGCATTGAAGCAATTCCACATCGAACATCCCAGTCATTTTGCCAACCATCCTAAATGTATTTTGAAAAAGAAAATATTGTGCTCATTTACTGTATTGAAAACAGCAAAATGCTAAAATATATCGTGGAGAACAAGATTCAGGTCACCTGGGTGCCTTCTAGACTTCCCAGAATAACGTCGGGGTGTTGTTTGTAAAAAAAAAAAATTCAAAAATACTGTCTCCTCTTCATCAAATTTGGTCTAGGTATTAAGTAAAGGTGCTTGTGTGTAGTGCATGGAGCCCAGTAATAGTGCAATTTTTTTGCCACATCAAAAGCAGGAAAGCAGTTCTCTTTATATGGCAAGTTATGTGATTGTACTTTTTGTTTTAAAGAAGAAAATAATTTTTTGAGTTTCCCATTGATGGCTGTTTTTGTATTTGGTATATAACAGCTTCTGTCCCGAAGTTCCCCATGGCCCTCAATGGGAGACTTCAAAAATCATTTTCTTCATTGGAACAAAAATTGTAATGATAAAACTTGCCTTTAACAAGAACTATTTATTTGCTTTCAACTTGCACATAAAAGTAATTTTCAATTGGATTAACACATAGTGCGAATCGCATCTCATAGTGGACAAAAATGATGATATAGTGAGATTTGTAATCTGGACCTAATAATATTTTTTGTCGTGAAATATACCTTCTGTGGAGTAAGTATTTATTGCTGAAATATTCATAGAAAGTGCAGTATTGCCATAGAAAAAATACAAACAGTAAACAGTTTGGCTGAATTCTTCAAAGCCTATGTGGCGGGAAAAATGAACTAATATTATACGGCTTCATATACTTTAAAGAAGCACCTTTACTTTATATAGAAATCAAAATTGATATGGCAAGAAAGATTATTACTTCTAAATTTTTTTCACAAAGAACACCCATACGACATTTTGCGAGGTTTTGAAGGTACCCACGTGACCACAATTTTTTCTCTTCAAAGTATTTTAGCGAATAACTATTTTCAAAAGAGTCAATTTGCACAATTTTTTTAAAACTATATATCTGTGATGGTCACCAGGCAGTATGGTTTGAATGTTTGGTGTAGAATGGCCCAGTGGGAAAAACAAATGCCTGAGCATCCTTTGACATTCGGGCAATTTGAAAGCATTTTCTTGGTAGCAGCTATTGAATTAAGCCCTTGTCTTCACGCTTAGGCCCAGAAACAAACCACAAGCAACCAAAGTAGTCCTAAGATTCGTCCTGTTTCGCTGCTCCAAGGCTTGTGCAGCCTAATTTAGTGCAAGCTTCATCATTTCTTTTTTTAAATTCAGATTCAATCAACAGGCTACGGAGGCTCAGTGCATTTTCAGCTAAATTGTTTCACACCTGTTACTTAGATAAAAAGCGGCAAGTAGAGGTAAAAATACCATCACAAAGGCATTGTAGGCAATAACAAAAAGGTCTGCATTTTTTTCTGTGGTGCTTTGCCTGAATGCTGTTTTTTTTGTGGTATAGTTCATTGTCTAATGAACATAGGCCTTAAAAACTAACATTAGCCATGTTGAGCACGATTTTTCGGTTATAATCATAGTAGCCATATTAAAAATTATGACTTCAAACTTGATTGTCTTGAAAATTTTCTCTTGTATAACGATATTTCAGTCTTCGTCAATTTTGTTATAAGAAAACGTGATGTCATAACAGGGTCACTTTATAGAGTCGTTCAGTTTTACCTCATCTTTTTTATTCCTAATAGAGCAGTTATTTTTAATATCGGTATTTAAAATGGGATGAGCATGCTGTATATACTAAGGTGTAAGCACTTACAGATAGCAGATGCAACCAACTCTTCTGTTGGCAGTTCATTTCTGTTACTCTTGATTGATGTGTGGGGTTTAACATCCCAAAACCTTTATATGATTATGAGAGACTCCGCAGTGGAGGGCTCTGGAAGTTTAAACCACCTGTAGTTCTGACCAAGTGTAATCTGAGCACACATGCCTACAGCGTTTCCTACTCTATCAGAAATGCAGCCGCTGCAGCCAGGATTCGATACCATGACCTTCGGGTCAGCAGCCAAGTTTCTATTACTCTTACTCCCCTATTTCTGTGCAGGTGGGCTACAGTAGTCTGGCTTGAACAGATTTGTAATGGCAGCTCCCTGATCCTGCTTGCTTTCATGGTTATTTTAACCTTCATAAGTTGCATAGTTTTACATAGCAAAATTCTTTAATATGCCAATTTTGTGCACGAACTGTATAGTTTAAAGGCAGCAAATGTGCATGTACGCACTATTAAATGTACATTGAGAGCTTTTACTGGCATTTCCTGATGTTTTAGTGTGCAGGAAGCATTTAAATGATAATTTTATAGTGACATTTTAATAGATTATCTCTACAATTGAAAATCGTGACAACAACCTAGTTATTTTCACTGTGATAAGCATGCTGTTTTTTTTTTCATGCGGCAGAACTAATTTGTACACTTTTTTTAATATTCACATATGTATGACATGAAGGAGTGTGTGCCTTTTATTTTCAGTTTCAATCTGTGCATGTGAACTAAGGTGCTTATATATGTCTCTGACATCATTTGTGGCAATTATTTACATTTTCAGATGCCTATGAAGGACACATCAAGTTCTATGGCAGTGACCTCTCAAATCCACAGTGGTGCCGGAGCCTCAAGCAGCATTTAGCCAATCTCCTTAAGGCGTTCATGAGATAAACACAGCACCACACTTTCACTGTGCTATGATTAATATTTATGTTTCAAGATTTCGTTCGAAAATTGCTGTTACATTATGTTTTGTGCCACCATCCTGTGGCTTAGTTGGAGCTTGTAAAATTGCGTTGCAGTCACCTCATCTGCGTATTATTAACACTGCGTTGAGGCTATTCTCAGTTGGAGCATATGGACAAATAAAAAAAATTATTTATTGTAATAGGGCTGATGTGTATAATAATGCTTCTCTAATGCAATTATTAAATCTATAAGTTTTTTAAGTATTGCTTAGAACACTGCATTATTGTGTTGCAATGTAACCACCGTTTATGATCGCTAGCATGTTAACTCAGTAGCTTTGTAACATATTTTATTTAAAAGCTAATTTTGCTTCCGCATCTCGACAATTCGAAAGATGCCGATGATTCAATCCCTCATCATGCATCTTTAAGAAACAGTGTGATTTGTACACAGTATTTCGTGTACTCAAGATGTGAACGTCTATTTAATTTACACAGTATATTGTTTTGCACCAGATTCGGACGGTCATTTTATTACCGCATAATTAATACGGCTTTCCTTATCTGCGGAGCTTTCTGCATCCTGGGCTTTCCTTATCAGCGGAACTTTCCTTATCATACGGCTTACGGCTTTTCATAGTCAATAATGGCGTATGTGTGGAACCATACATACGGAAAGTTTCAGTAGGGTGCATTTTGATAGACGCAAAAGCTAGCTGCCCATGTACTGTTATGACAGCGAACGTTAGAAATACCAGGTGGTCAAAAGTGCGGGAATCCTCCACTTCATCATCTCTCATATATCGCAACTTTCAGGCGTAATATCGTTATTGAGATATTATTATCATCGAACGTCATGTTGGTGCAATACAAGAATTTCATGCTGGTTAGATGACTTAACTGGGCTAGTCGTGAAATTTTGACACTTGGTGCAATGTCAGCGCTTGGCAGTATTGGAGTAAAAAAGACGGGCGATGCAGACTAAAGCATGAAACAACACCGGCTTTCTTCCATCTTACTTGTTTGCGCAAACTCTTTTGATACACGCACAATTGTCAATCAGCATATTGTTGCCCCATAGCTTAACATAGTGTGAGAGAAAGACAAATGGTATGACACAAAAATATTTAAAAATGATGCACAAAAACACACACGGTTTTGTGGGGTGACGCTAGCTGCAGTTTGTAACAGCAACCCTTTGTATGCTAGGTTACGGCCAATATGGGTCTTTCATAGGTCAGCGAAATATTGGTAATCACTCAAAATCGCTGAACAAATATAATCTCCTCTGAGCGCTCCCTTGTACGCATGAAAATCGCCTCAGTCAGACTCACTTGAACTTCAATTCACCAACATATTGCTCGTCAGGGCTCACAAAGACTCACTCTCGCCACTTGACCTGAGCCTGAGTGAGCCGATTCATAAGCTCGTGGGCACAGAATTATATTTCTTGATCATAGTGTTAATCATCTTTAAAATATGTGCTGTTTACTACATCCCTGTTGATCTTATGCCGTAAAGTACGCATCATTAGTTGTTGCGATCTTGTAATGTTAAAACGCCCCAAACACGAGTTATTTTGAAAAGGCTCAATTGATTGAGTTTTCTGGGCCAGTCACATATGTCGCCCCCACCTTCGAAGTCACGCCTCTTATAAATCAATTACGAGGGATCATGTGAACACGAGTGTGTTGAGGTAAGCGGTAATGGATATGACTAATAACGTAAGCCGATTTAAGGCTGTTAAGGAAGCTGCTGATGAGACGTAGGCGAGTCTCGTGCTAATAATTTTTGGTACTTGTAGAAAAAGCTATTGAGTACATTTTTTTGCGAAGGAAGGAATATCTTTTGGAGAAAAACCACAGTGAGGAGGCCACAGTGAGCATACCACAGTGAGGAGGCCATGTTTTTTTTTCTGAACGCAGCTCCTTCATTATCGATGACATGTGCCGAAAGATCAAGTCGTCCTTGGCAGAATTAACATTTGGTCAGATCTGGGACTAGGACCTGACGAAGTACGCACCCGCCTTAAGGAGGCATTCGAAAAGATTATGAAAGTGGTTCACAAAACGATGTTGGAGGACATCACAGACTCCCAAGGTAATGTACAAAAGGATCTTCCAGAGCCAGGTGACCCTATTGCTGTGATGAGTTGATTAGAAGAGGTCGCCAGTAACTTCTCATTTCAGTTTTGCAAAGAAAATTTCTAATAAGCAGTATAATTTTTTGGAGCTTTCACAGAGGGAGGAGTTTCATATATTGTTAAATATCGCCAAAACAGGAAAAAACACAAACAAGAAGTAGCTCATAGGATATATTTTACAGGCCATAGTAAGTAAACGGCGGTAAGATAAGAAGGTTCATTTTCAACCTCATTTGTTGCCTTTCAGCACATTTTCATGATTCGATGCCTGCGCAAGTGTGTTGGAGCAATCTCATTGGTGCCTGAGGCACATCATATTAAAAGCAACTTTTCTAAATCACTTGTGCATAGTACAAACTTAATACGATGCAAAACCTCTCTGGCAAGATTTACTTGTACAGAACAGTGCCCAAAATGGAACAAAAAGAGGAAGGTCAATAACTGGTGTCGTTTATGTCCATGTTCATTCTCTGCAATGACTAGCCAACAAGGCCGCATTGCAGCATGATTTTATTTTTTCTCACAAGAATACTCCACTGGAGCTCCTAAAGACAGGCTTTAAAAACCCGTTCATTCATGCAGCCATGGCATTTTGTTTTTTTTTTCGCATGTAAACATTGAAATACTTGACCATACGCTTTACATGGTTCCAAAGCATATTATAGGACATCAATAATGGTTCTTAGTTTATCATTATCAGGGTTAAATTCACATCCCTAACAGAGTTACCCTGATGATGCATAAAGCCATGGCTTCAGTAGTTTCTGGCTGTTGCAAAAGATCTTAAGTTCACTAATAACAGGGTGTTTCAAGATATTAAGAGGGCAGACTGGTCTTAGACATCTTTTGTTTACTTCTTCAGTGATCTTAATAAAACTGCACAGGGTCATGCAGTTTTTTCTGCTGATTTCAAATATTTAATTAGTTTTCCTATAGTTCACTTTGTTCCTGAGATAACTTAAGTTTACCACCTATTGGTCAAGGCCACCACAGAAAAAGTACTTAATTAAATGTGATATTCAGGATATGCTAACATAGACTAATGACTATAGAGTGAAAGCATGGAAGAGGGTTTTGTTTTTAGGCCTTTATTGGTTATTTTGCAGCAAAATGAACTATACATTTTCAAAGGCTGTTGAAATTGTGTTGCAATTTTATATAGTAAATAATTAAAAAGGCATGTGCTTAAATTCTGCTTCCATACTTGCATTCTACCTACATACAGGTTTCCACTGCAAAAAGAATAATTGTTGTACGTTCCCTAGCTGCAGAGATATTGAGGCCTCAAAATTGAATAGTCATAAATTTACTTTTTTGAGAGAAATGGAAAAAAACTGAAAACACAAAGTTTCTTCAAAAAGCAACAACCATGGTGCGCATGTTTTGCAATCCTCATGAAGGCACTCATAAATTGGTAGTAGAGCTTTAGACAAACGTGCTGGCAAATTATAAAAAAGCTTCAAAGTCGGTTCCCCATTTTTTTGCAGGTTCTGCATGTTAACAGCACCAAGAATCTGGACAGTTAAAATGACATTACAAAAAAATTTCTACCTCCTGAATAAACTTGTTTCCAAAATTACTACTTCCAAAAATCACGAAATAAACTTGTTTTTTCTCACTCTAACTCTTTATATCACAAAATAACTTATTTCTTCTATTTGCTGCATTATCAACACAGCTCAAAGGAAAAAAGTGTACTTCGCCCCAAAAGTTTGAACTTCAAAGCACGATGAAGGCACACAGGGCACCCTAGGAAGACAAAAAGAGCTCAGAATCGGGTGCCGGGCACAAGGAGGCCGCCAGTGAGCAACACTGGGGAAATAGTGATTGCCAAGGACATCAACGCGGCGGCGTCCTTTGCAGGTGCCACCTCTTCAGGATACGTGGCGTCCTGGCACTGCCCGTTCCCATTGTTCACAGCACTGTTACACCCGCCCCACATGATGTGGCGGAGGGTGGCTAGTTGACGCTCGCACACACTACACTTTGCGTCCACAAACATGTCAGGGCCACGTATCCAGGACGCCACGTATCCCAAAAAGGTGGGAGCACGAATACGCTCCGAAGACTCAACGACGCAACGAAGGGCCATCCAGCGGCTTGAGGAGGCCCTGGCAAGGCAGAGGAAAAAGGGAGCCGACGCCCTGGACAATGGGAGCGGAGGAGCCCGAGTATCCAACGCCTAGCCGGAGCGCAACGTCCTCAAGATCTATGCACTGGGACTATAGGACTCTATTAGCCATAGTCTTCAGATAGGGAATACACGCGCCTTGCGTGGCCGGCAGTCATGGGCATGTTACCAGTAAAAAGTAAGTGTTACAGTTATTGAAGGTAAAAAAGTAACTCTGTTACAGTTACCGATTTTGTAAAAGTGACTTGTTACAGTTACAGTGAAAAAGTAACGTTGTTAGTTTTCTGTTACTGTGTAAAATAATTGATTACAAAACAAATGATAGATTTGAATGAATAATGGCGTAGGAAGGCATGCAGGTAATGAAAGTTGCATGTTGTGAAACCCTAGACGAAAAAAAAACAACCTAAAGTCGGCCAATATAATCAATCGTTTTGTAAAGCTCACTTTGTCACATCAGTTTTTTTGTTGTTGTGGTTTATGCACACTTTGTGACAAGGAAGTTTACTTGCAAAATTCATTACACTGTAGAATGAGTTGCTTTTCAAAGTTTTCATCGGAGAGCTTTCCCCTCTTGATGGACAAAATGTCGCGTCTTTTGCTGAATAGCTGTTCAGCCGGCGCACTGGATGGACTCCCCGTATTTCGCTGAATGATAATGTTCTTAAACTTAAGGTACTTCGCCAGCTCGCTGTTGTCAGTTCCGGAATCGCTGAGCCATTGTTGCACCTCGGAACATGAAAGGGAGGATTAAGGCAACTGAAAAAACACGTCGTCTTCGTCGGTTCCTTCGCTAACGGCTGCACTTTCATTGAAAATTGCTTCTAGAGCATGACACTCTTCCTCAGAAAGTCGTAACGTCGCTGTTTTCCGCGCTTCCAGTCATCCAGGAAAGCTTGAACTTTAGATGCACCGCTGCTGCCAGGGCCAGATCGGCATCCTCCAAAACTCCAGAAAACCTGTATTGAAAAAGGTTACAGAAACAATGTATGGCCCTGTGGAAAACATTTCACTTTCATTCATACAACGGACAATCCGTGGTACGAATGCATATGCACTCCTGCGAGAGCACGCGCCGAGATAGGACAGCAAGGAGATAGGCACAGAAAATTTCTCTCACCTTTTCTCGACTGCGTCCTAAAGACTGCCAGCAAGGGGTGTGTAGTACTTAAGCGGCGGGAGGGATCTCTGATACCGCAGTAGAGATTGAAGTGTTGGCTGCAGGATGCCCATGTACATATATTGTTCCCCTTGTATATCCAGCGCCTTTGCCACAGCGTACATCGGCTGGAAAAATAAAAGATATAGTCAATGAACATAGATTCTTCATGCTGCAATCGTGGCAATGAGAGTGCATCGAACGTTGCGTCAATCCTCTCTTTCGGTACTTCGTTTACGTACTTCATGGCGTTGAACAACGAATTCCATCGCGTTGCATTCGGCACAGGGAGATGCCTTCCCAAGGCAGCCTTTATTGCTTCGGCTACCTGCACAGACTGGCTTTGTTTCCTCCAAAGAGTCTTCAGTTTTGAGAAAATGGTCCTCGCCATTTCGCGGTAGGTCCCGTTATTGCCGGCATTTTCGGCATCCATCGAAGCGACGAGGTTTAGGGTGTGCGCGGCACACCTTCTGTGCCGTGGCAAGTGCATATCTTGAGAGGAATCATTGTTCGAGCCACTGTCCAGTACCTCTGTGATGTTATTTGCCACAAAATTTTGGTCCCGTTCAGCTACTTCAAAGACCCTGTGTCCCGAAAAATAGAAATTTCCAACAAGTTAGCGCGGGAATGAGCTGGTAGAGGCTCAACATTTTTATACAGCATCCATATAATTTGATTGACTAGTTTGTTAAGCAGTATGAAATAAAAGTGCCAACAGCTGGACGAAAAAATACGGGACAGGACAGAGCACTCCCTTAAGAATAAAACTGTTAGAAAAAGCAAGAAAGGAGTGAAGGTTAAAATCTATCAACAAATGAAGATAAACACGGCGACTATGCCCAAGCAGACGTATAAATGCACCCAAAAGTTTGCGGTGCGTAGGCTCTACTGCAAATGCGAATTTCTGCTCTGTTAGAACGTGGCGCTTCTGAAATAGCTGGTAGCTGTGTAGCTCGCTAGGACTATACTACAGGCCGGAACATCTATTTGGAGGTCAAGTTCTCAGACAAAGCCGGAATATAGCTTCCTCGTAAGTTTCGTACTCCACACGTTTTTGGGGCGGTTTACATCTGTGGTACGCTTCTAACAGAAAAAAATATATATATTGCATGACACCGATAATCAGTAGCCTTAATATATAATATAGCACAATAATGGGCTTTAGAAAGTTGCAAATATCTTATTAAAACGGAAATTCGGGTCTTTTAAAATTATGAGGGACTACACAAAGCGTAAAGTTTCTGTTGTGTGTGCATTGCAATTGCCTCTTGTCTTTTCTAGTCTCAGGGCTTTGTACAATATCTCTTAGAACGTATTTGTACTTTAATTCTTGACTCTACAAAATAACCACATGACTATTTAGATTTGTGAGGGATATGCAGAAGTTTGTTGTAAATTCTAGGGTTACAAAAAGTGCCTTAGTATGCAACAGATGAGGGCATGCGTGCTACTCTCGATAGTCGGTGAGATCAGCGATTGCAGCGTGCCAGGCTCATTAATTTATTGCGATCATAAAAAAGAACGCAACTGAAGTCATATTGCAGCTTAATTTTGTTTCTTTTTGGGAAGGATAAGATAATACAAATAGGCAACCTCGGTGTACACAATGAGATTAAAACAGAAGCAGCCTTTAACCTACCTGAGGGCTTTCACAAAGTTCTAACCATTGTCCGTGATGACGACGCGCATCTTGTGCAGAATCTTGTACTCCACAAATACTGCGTGGAGCGCTGTCGCGATTACGTCGTAGGTGTGATGACCTGAGAGCCTCTGGCACACAAGCGCTGTGGATCTTCTTTCCCCCCCTCCACCCCCCAAAAAACAGGGGAGGGGGGCTCGTGAACTTGGCAAGGTATGCAGTGACAACATGTCTGATTTACAACATGTAGTTTTACGAATAAACATACCCTCCAGACACACTGCGCTTCAAACCAGCCAGACGGGTATTTGTCAAATATGTTTCCCTTTAGACATGTAGTATACAAGTAAAGTCCGAACTCGGTCTTGTGCAGGGAGGATATTCCTTTTAGCGATCCGTTCCCTTAAACTGCGATGGGAGCCGTGGAAAGTCAAAAGGTGGAGAGGATATTGTAAAAAAAAAGTTTGAAAAAATGAAAAGCGTTTAACGTCGGCCTCTAAGGAGTGTGGCTGTTGGATAATTTTTTACAAAAACAAAAGTGACTGTAACTGTATTTTTCGTTACAGTTACTCAGTAAAAAAGTAACAGTGTTACAGTTACAAGTTCCTTTAAATTAAAAGTAACTAGTTACAGTTACAAGTTACTGAAAAAAGGAACTAGTTACCGGTAACGCATTACTAGTAACTAATTACTGCCCAAGACTGGTGGCCGGTGACTTCCCGCATGCCGGATGCGTGAACACATGTTTCTCTCTCTTTGCAGGTGCCGCTTCCAAGGTCCCTAAGTAAGGGGCCCAATGACTGGACCTAAAGCAGGCATGCGCTGCGGGGATGCGGTTGTCTCAATAAAAACTAATTTAAGTTATTTGTCCTGTTATGTTATCTCTGTAATTATTATTCTCAACTGAGTAATTATATAGCCTAATTTGTTTATTGCTCTTATTGGTTGTAAGTTGGTTCCCCACTGGCATTGAGTTATTTTATCCCTTGTGGTTAATTATTTCTCTTCAGTCACAATCACTCTAGATGTAACTAACACTGTTAATGTCGCCTATTCTTTTGCTGGCTGCATTACCCGCGGCGGCATTGTGTCTAGCACAGTAACGCTGCCCTCGACCCACTCGCCTTGTTTCGTTCAGTACCTCAGTTATCTTATTTGTTTGTGCTTCATAATAATGAAGAGTAGAACTAATAATTAACAGGCGTCGCTCCAATTATTGACTCCTTTCACTCGCTGTAACTATAGTGTACGCTATGCGTCATTCTGCCCTCACCGGTATCTACCTCCTTATCAGTAGCGTTATAACTCATGTTACTGCTTATGACACCGGATGATGCGGTCGCACGTTGCCACACGTTTCTTCTGCCGTTAGTTCAGGCAATTTTTAGCATCTCCACTCATTTATCGGCCAGTCGTTAATTAAACAGACTTGGAAAGGACAATGCTGTTACGACTTTGAAACATGAACCGCCGCGTTGTCTCAAAGACTACAGTGACATGCTACTGATAAAGCTTTCGTGGAGTTGATTACTGGCCACTTCGGCCGTATTTCAATGAATGTGGAGTTGAAAACATAAACATGGCTGACCCTCCGTCACAGAAATTGCTGTAACACAAATGTAAAACGTGCATGCCCTTACAGAAATAGTTCAACATTTACTGTACATCGATACGAAAAAGCTTCACAATGTCCAA